TTCCAAAAGCACCAACCGCCAAAACTGACGTCGAATTTTGTCAATACCTTTTAGGGAATTAAACCTTGATTAATTATGATAATAAATAATAATTACCAAAACTAATAATTTCTATTTTATTAATACCAACATTAACTTTTGTTAATTGAAGATCAACCCCCTTTTTCTTCTCCACGGTATTCTTTTACTCATTGATTTTGCATCCATAAATGATTTGATTTTTGTTCTAAAAATCATTTGGGCACTGTGATTTAATTTGATACGGGCACACCGCACACCAGGATGGTTGATTTAATTCGATATAACCACACCACATTTTGCATTTCATTATCTGCATGGGGTATTAATGGAAGCATGCAGAAGATTTTATTATTTGGGTTAGGGCTGTAAAGAAAATGAACTGAAATATCCATAAGATTGATCCTCATATAGTCATATGTAAGGCTTGCAAAATGAATGGAAACAAATATAAGATATACTCATATTTAAATTTGATTCATTAATATTTGATTTGAATAGAATCTTATCTATTGGATTTATATAGGATTGAACTAATATTATTTAGATATTAAATACCATCAATAAATTAAGCTAAAATGATTAAAAGATGGTATGCAATTAATAACATGAACTAATGAATAATGATGGCTTTGATATTACTAGTAAACATGTATGTGCATTTGCACGTGACAGTATCTCTAAGATAAAATTATTTATAATTCATGGATAGTTTTTATACGGTTATAAGTGGACAATTTCTGAACTGTTATAAGTGGACAGTTTTTGGAGCGAGAGTAAAAGATACATATACCCTCTTTATGCCCGTTGTATGCTGTTTAAGCAAAGGGTAAAAACGTCCAATAAAAATTCCAGAAAGAAGAGAAATTCATTCTTTTATCGGTAATATAGATATATGATGAACAATAACCTGAAAATAACTTTCATGAGTTTTTTTTTTGGTGTTACATATTACACTTTACAAGTGATCAAGGGGTGAAGATAGAGCAGGGTGCACATGAAAGCATGCAATTATGAACATTTACTTTGTGCCTCCATATTCGAAGGTATGCCAAGTTATCATCTCAGTTACTGGGTCATTGGCAATCGGCACTATCCTGAGGCGCCCTCCTTAGCCCAGGCTAGATTCAATCTTGTCAAGCAAATGGCAAATTGGGTGGCCCATGTAGTGGCTCATTATATCAAAGTCCAATTAAACATTGATTTTGCTACCTTGTTACCTTGGCATTTAGGAGTGCATGGGTTGGTTTGGTTCAGTTCCTATGCAGAACAATGCCTATTTAAGATCAAATTATACCCAAACCAGTTCCACTAAGACCGATAAAGACCGATTTTCTTGATTGATTGGGTAAGATAAACATAAATTGTCAGACATTGAAACTGGCTTGGGTGGAGGTCAATTCTAAGAAATTAGAATTGGACCCTAGCTGAGAATCAATTTATAACAATGCCTATTTAGGCCCCGTTCGCATTTTGGTAAGTTACTTACCCAGGTAAATGCATTTACTTGGGTAAGTGTTTCTCATTTTTCCTGGGAAACACTTACCCAAGTAAGTTCATTTACCTATGTTCTTTTATTTCTCAAGTAAATAAGACAATGACCATTTTAGCTATAGAAATCTATTATTAAAAAGGCATTTTTGTCTCATTCAAGTGTTGCAACTTTCCTCATATGTGGGAAAGTTATTTATGCACGTAGGAGATGGGCATCACTTTCCTAGGTAAGTTGTACATAGGAAAATAAATTTTCCCTGTCCCCCACATAAAACTGAAAAAAGAACATGAGATTCTTGGTCAATGGGAACCAAAATCCCATCGACTAACTCAAGGTTCAAAATATCGACACGTATCGACCCGTATACATTTATTGTTTTGGGACCCCTCCTCTACAGTGGGTGTATCGGGGGTTTGACCGGTTCAGAGGATGGACTAGCCCTAAACTGGTTGTGAAAAAAATAAAAAAAAGCAATAAAATGCAGTATCGATTCGTCCGATACGCCCCTACTAACATATCGGGCATATTGATATTTTGAACCTTGGACCAACTTTCCCCCTCCAAATCCAAAAAAAGAACACCCGCTTAAGGTCAGTTCCAATCGATTGTACCGATCTATTTGCTTAAACCTACCAACATCCATAAATTATAATTTGTGTCGAATGTACCCACCATCATGATGTCATAAATGAAAATTTGTTTTACCAAAAAATTATGTAGAGTGGATCCATATATAATTTTTATTTTTGAAAGCCCTTAGGCAATTCGATCCATATATAATTGGTCCTATAGGCTCGTACTGCCTACGAATAAACCAAAAGCATAGGATAGGAAGGTAAAAGGAGGTGATATCGTGGGGATTGATTGAGCATGGGTGGGGGTGGTTCCAAAATTTCCCAGCTGACAAGCATTGAATTAAAAAGATGTGGAAGTGGAGTGGAATATATTCCTCTTCAGCACTACCCATACCCATACCCATACCCAACACAGGCCGCAGCAACTGTGTCTGTGTGTTGTCACGATTCTTCCCCTATAAATTTGGTGATTACCTAAAAAATAAAACCTCTCTTTAAAGTGTAAACACTAAACTAAAGGGGAGGCTTTACCTTAGCCAGTTAGCCTACGTAAGTAAAAAAAGTGAAACCTTGAAAGCCACACTTGTCTCCCACAATACAAACCACTTTCTTAAGTCTTAGGGCTAAGAATCCTATGCCCGGCTGGCCCGGCCCATGCAATAAATGGATTCTTACTCAGATCAGAGATCACGTCATCCTCCTTATCAATGTTTACCATATGCTTCACCTAGCTTGCTAGCTGCAGCTGGGTTTTAATCCTGCTAATTCACTTTAATAAGATTAAAGAGGGCCAAACCAAACAATCAGCCTCCCAATTGTATATTCATAGCTCACCTCAAATGCGGGGACGATGACGGACAGAAACAAGTTGTGGCAAATTAGCTTGAGTGGGCTTGGGCTAACTATTATCTAAAGAGACAAACAATGAGACACAATACAGCCCATCAGGTTAGTATTTGATCTCTACAGCATGGATAGGTCTTAAAAAGGGGTCCAGATCAGATCAGGCCGGCAGCGGCAGGCCCATGACCCATGGTTATCTTAACAACATTTACACACCACAATATGCATTATTTATTGTTTTTCTTTGAAGGAAAATAACGTGAGAAGATCCGTAATTAATTTTGAAGAGTGCCAAAGTAATTGCCAGAATAAGATGGTTGCTGTTTGCCAGTTGGAAGGGATCGAGTCGAAGGTATTTGACCAAACTTTGGTGATGAGAGAAAAGTTGCTGTTTACATAATAATTCTTGGTATTGTGTGCGTGCCCAAGTGATGACATTAGGTGTGACAAAACACAAACAAAATTCAGAGAATCGACCCCTCCAATCTCTCAATCCCGTTCAAGCCTTCAAGACTGTATTTATAACTTTCAGAAATCCAATATCCTTTAACAGATTGGATGACCCTTTGGACACGTCTCACTTATCAATCTTAGCACAAGGAGCTATAATTATGTGAGATATCTGGGAATTGGGATCTTTTGCCAATAAAACATGTTCCAACCCTCTACCAATTTCATACATTTCACTTTAAAACTGGGACCCGCCATGCATGATTTCACTTTAAAATTGGGACCCGCCATGCATGAGATGCATGGTGTGAGATTATGTTGGTAGCTACAGGATTGGAACGTGTTTTGTTGCATGGTAGGTGATCCAAACTCATCTGGAAGAATAGGTGCAAGGTGATCTTCGAACATATTGCATTTGATCCTATATCTGTAGTCTTGGTGGTTCATTCTCGGATGGATGAAATTCTTTCCCATATTAATATACTGTCAGTAATCCAGTCATCTGAAAGTCCCATTCAGTCACAACTTGGTTGGACCAAACCTCCTTCTCCTTCTCTAAAGTTAAACTTTGATGGGGCGCTAATAAATTGTCGGTCTTTTAGTTCGAGACTCAAACTGCAAGTTTTTGTTATAGTAGAGCATCTAAAGTTCCTCTGGGATCTCCTTTGGAAGTAGAAGCTAAGGCAGCTCTTTCTGCTATCTAGTTTGCTGTAGATATTAGTGTTTCTTCAGTAATTATTGAGGGTGATTGCCAAACTGATGTCGAATTTATTTCTAGGAATACAAATGGATCGGATCGGATTCAAATTCGATCTGACTTTGTTAATGTTGGATCCGATAATATTCGATTTAAATTCAAATCCTATTGGATCTTTGGATCTGATTTGATCCGACTTGTTTTCTTTAAAAAATAATAAATTATTAAAAAAATAAAATATACCAATTTAAATAAAAAAACAAAAAATATAAATATTTTTTAATTATTTTTATCATATATATACATATTTTTATTAAAAATAAATAATATAACAAATTTATAAAAATATAGTATAAATAATATATTTAGAAATAAATAAATAATATATATGTATTATATATATATATATATATATATATTTATTAATTTATTTATAAACATATAACACATGGAATCGGATCGAATCATAATCCGATCCATTTGCACACCCTATTCTCGTTCTTGGCAAATTAGACATATTATTTCTGATTGCAAACTCCCCATGTTACAAATCCCTCACTGCTCGGTTCGATGGTCCTCTTGTTCCAGTAACAAGGCAGCCCACCTATTGGCTAAGCATATTCTCAATGTTGCTCGTTCAAATCTGCGCCCCACCAGCTCTGGCCCCTCATTGCCCCACATGCCGAATGTCCGCCATCTGTCCCTTCGCACGTAGTTAACTTGTCCCGCGTGCGGAGTCAATGGAACGGCCGTTAGCCCCAAAACTATCTCAAAACCGATTTCAAATCTCAAAACCCTCATTTCCACATTTCACATTCCCGTGTGCTTGAGCAGCGGGTCCCCTGACCCCTCGTTCTTCTCCCCTCACCCGAGTTCTCTTCTCCTTCTCCGGCACCGGCGATCATCCGGAGGTACTCTCCAGCTCTCATATTTGAACTTTTTCACACATTTTCTAAATTTTTTTCTTTTTTTCTAATATTTTGGTTTTTAAGAAATCAGAGAAACCACTGGCAACAGTGCTTTCTCTTCCGGCACCGGCGACCATCCGGCCTTTTCACTATCACATATACTTTCCAACTCTCATAGAAACCACTCTTCCACAAGACATCTCGATTGATTCCTCTGTGCCATTCTTTCTCTTAAGTCTTAACTATATTGGATTCGCCCAGTCGTGGACAAGAAAACAAGCATTGTCTTTCAACTTTCAACATGGTTATTGGTGTTTATCTATATTTCTAGTTTTTTAAGGGTCTGTTGCATCAGACAGTATATAATCAATAAATAACAACTGCCTCATGCCAACAAATCATATGTTAAGATGAAATGGGTAAGTAAATAGTAACACTCTTTCACACCTTCTCGGGAATCAATGCGAACATGCTCAATCCTGATAACACCATTAATCGATAGTGGATAGAGCGTACGTTGGCCACCGCAGTAGAGGGGAGGAGCTCAGTCTACTCGGTAGCCACTGAGAGATATCCATGGGCTGATAATCATACCGCCCTTATTCTGAATCTCATGCAGTTCACTTTCATGCTGAAGGTGATGGAGAAGAAGAAAAGTTTGAGCTGGTTTGGTGTCTTCCCCGTCTACTACGACGGCGTTGTTCGAATCGACCCCAACGACGCATATTGCAACGATTTAGAGTACGACGCCGCTGCTCGGCAACATTTGCCCGGAGGACCGGCAAGAGTCAATTATCCTGTTTTTGAGTACTGTAACACACACCAAGCTCCAGTCGGGCGTGAGGCTATAGATCTGAGGAAGCTCACCAGGCATGGAGGGTTCATAGTTCTGATGATGACCGGAGCCTGGAAACGCTCATCAAGGTACAGGCTCGATTTCACCCTGGACAAGCTAGCAGATAGGATTGCTTATAGGGCTGATTATGATTTTCAGATTTCTGACAGATGGATGGACCCTCCCGCCCAGGGGACGAAGAAGAAGAGGTCGACCATGCCTCCCTTACCCATTCTGATAACGTATGGGGGGCTATGACTAAATATATAGAATTCAATAGGGTTTACGAGAGTTTTTCTGCCGCACTGTATATATTTGTGACTGTGGTGTGTCAGATGGTGCCCCAGACGGCTGAGGAGCAGTACTGGCTCCGCTTAGAGACGAAGATCACAGTACCTCGCTTTTCTTCTTTTCGAGGTAGATATATAAGAAAATGTGTGAGAGTTCAAATATGAGAGCTGGAGAGTACCTCTGGATGATCGCCGATTGTTGTTGTAGGTCACCGGTGCTGGAGAAGAATAAGAGAACTCAGGTGAGGGGAGAAGAACGAGGGGTCAGGGGACCGACTGCTCAAGCACGCGGGAATGTGAAATGTGAAAATGAGGGTTTTGAGATTTGAAATTGGTTTTGGGATAGTTTTGGGGCTAACTGGACGAGTTAACGGCCGTCCCGTTAGCCCCGCACACGGGACAAGTTAACTGCATGCGAAGGGACAGATGGCGGACGTTCGGCGTGTGAGGCATTTGTGGGGCGCATATTTGAATTCCTTAGTCTTCCTCTTCATCCTTTTTATTAGAAACATTATTGATGGATTGTAATTCCGAGCAGTTTTATGTTTTTATTAATGAATATATCCTTTAAATCCTAATTATTCATACTCAGTAAAATGAACAAATAAACGAACCTCTAGAAACATTTCCAACTGCCTGCGCATCAAACATTATAATGGCATCAACTTCATCCGTATATTAATAAAGGCAATTCAACAACTGGAAGTATTATTCAGTCTATTCAGAATTGGGTACATTCAGCCCTTTGAGTCTGATTCATCTGAACTGGAGTTTAACTTTGCCATGCGTATATACCAAAAAAGAAAAGCTACAATGAAGGATGCTGATTGGTCACATCCCACTACTGAATACTGATTAGGGGTGCAATTTGAGCGGGCCCAACCTGAACTGGCCCAATCCCAAATTTTATACGGGCTGGGCTCAGGCCCTAGAAGTCAGGTTTTTGTATTTTTTGGATCGGGTTTGGGCCTAACCCTTAGGTAGCTCAAATCAGATCTGAGTTCGGATCAATTTATACATTTATATATATGTAAATGTTGCATACATATTTACATACATACATATATATATATTTATTTATTTATTTGTATAAATACATTTATATATGTATAATTTTAGAGTGGGTTCATTGACTAACCCAAGCCCGGCTTGGGCCCGACCCCAACCTGAGTGCATCAAATTACAGGGTGGGCTGGGCTCAAGTTGAGAAAATCGGGCTTAACCTCGGGCTTGGGCCTTAAGCCCAAATTTTAGGGCCAGGCCTGGATTGACCATAAACCCAGCCCAACCCGCCCAACTTGCACCCCTAATACTGATGAATAGAGAGATTCCCCTTTTATAACAACCAGAACCAAATATGAGGAGAAACTTGCCCAATCACTCCATTCAATTCAATTGAGAGGAGTCTTGCTACCAAAACCATTGCATGGATGCCAGCAAAATGGGTTGGTCTACTATCATACCAAATTTTGTGTGAAAATGAAAACTAAGGAATTTTATCATTGTGGATATAGCGTTTAGTTATTTACTTCATTCTTGCTACCATTTGGACAAGTAGTTGGAAATCATCGTTATCTTCATGGTTTTCAAAACCAGATTGGAATCGACGGTGGGACCGAAAAACTGGAAACCGGTCACCTGATTGGTTCCGTTTTACCTCAAAACCATTTTTTGGCTAAAAACTGTTGATTTGGTAAATGAATCATTGACCTAGGTGGTCGAATCGTCATATCATCGACCTAGACAACATTTTGTTGGCCATTTTTTGCTTTTTTTATTATTGTTTTTATTTTTTCTGTTAGAGTGGGTCATTCGTTCAGACCATTTGACTTAAGAATAGGACCCAAAACGGTTCCTTGTCTAGTCCGATTTTCGTACACCCCCCTTAATAGCTGAATCCTGGGCGGGTGGGCGACAAAGGAATTAGTTCAAGGATACCATCATCAAAGGTGACTCCCTGCTCACTATTAGATGCATCAACAATTTAACTATGTCTAAGACAGGCCAACATGAATACATGATGGCAAATCAACTTGCTAAAAAGGATCTTAGAGTCAGAAAATTTTCTCATCAATGATGGCAATCATAGTGCCTTGAATCAATGGAATATAATTGAACCTTACTTGATCTAAGCTGCTTCATTGTTGGATGTGTTATCTAACACCAGATATACGAGTCTAATTTGTTTCACAATAGATCTAAACCCTCTTTTGAAATGGATTTAAGCCTCTATCTAGATTTGTGATTTTCTTGTTAGTTTTATGTAGGAATGGCAATGAGACAGGTTTGAGGTGGGGACCATATTCTCCATTCCTAATCCTCAATTTTGACACAAATCTCAGTCCCTGGCCCCGATCCCTGTTGGGGATAAAAGTTCTCCTCCATCCTTGATCCCCCAATGGAGACGGGTTTCTTGTGGGAACTTGAATCCCCAAATTTTTTTAATTAAAAGTATTTTTTTTGAAAATAGATTTACTTTAAATAAAGGAAAATTTTAAAATATAAATAATATTTAAATATATTTTGATATTTATATATCGATATTATTATATAATATATATTTAATGTAAATAATATTTAATATATATAATCGAGGTTTGGGCAACATAAGGGCTTCACTCCCTATCCTCATTGGGGATCCCTATTAATCCACATTCTTGCCACCTTCAAGGCAATCTCCATCCCCGACCTGATGGGATCAGGGAGGATGGGTAGCCAATGGGGATGGAGAAAAATGCCATCCCTAGTTTTGTGCTCCTTTGTTGTGGATTATCAAAACAAAACATAGAAGAAAGCACCTTTGTTGATGTTACAAGTATTGGATCTGTTGTGTTGGTGCCTTGAATTCTAGTTGAGATCTACTTCATGACTTGACCCAAACTAAATTGAAAAAAACATGAAGGCAAAATTTCATAGTGGTTTGTGGTGGAAGTAGAAGGACTGCTAGTATAGCATATTGGATATTATTGTATAGCCGATCTCATAGCTCATATGGTTCTTGGGGACTCCAACCAACTGGTAGCCTAGTATCGCTAGCTGATTTCATAGTAGGACTCATTGATTTTTGGACTCTCGTAAGTGTGATCTTATAGAAGACATGAGATCAGTTTCTTGACAATTTGTGGGGGCTAATCCTTTGAGTTTTTTTTTTCATATAAATAGCCTTGTATCTTGCATAGAAAGTTATTTTGTATCTTGGGGCCAAGAAAGAGAACAAAGAGTGTGAGAAACATGATCCAATAGAATTGTTCATTCCATCTAGTGTTTTCAGTGCTTCCTTTTAGCTTATCCAAAATTCCTTTTCGCATCAGAAATGAGGACAACCTTTTGGATACCCAGAATTAATAGTCTTCTCAGACCACGAATGACTGCCCAGAGTTTAGCTTTTATGGAGTTAGTTGCCTATCATGGTTCTCCTTCTGCAATGCAAACATTGTGGGAGTAAGGCAACAAATAGAGACTTGTAGAGGCCAAGTGTGTGCTAACATCCCAAGCTCCACCCACTACAACTAAAGAATGAGTGTTGTAAGAAAACCAATAAGAGGAGAGATTATCCTTTGAGATCTGTTGCTGATAATTCTGATCATAGAATGATTCATCAGTGCGTGATATGTATTGGTCAGCTATCAAAGCAATATTTAGAGGGTTTGGGTCTTTCCCTTTGAATATTACTTCATTTTTATGATCCCAAATGCTGTGCAAGATGGCCGATATCCAGGCCATGACAAAATTTTTCATTTCTTTTAACCCTTGGTATCTCGTAGACCACCAATAAAGGAAATCCTAGGAACCTGAGGAGATAAACTCCTCTGGATTAAAGCCTAACTGAGCCTCCAACCAGACGGCTCTTTCCAAATTGCATTCCATACAAAGATGTTGTTGGGTTTTAGGGAAGTCATTACAAAAGGTACAACTACTATTTCCATTGTGCCTTAGGCTCCATATTGCATATTTTGTCTTTATTGCATTTAGCAATAACTTCCATCCAAATAATTGGCATCTATAAGGGACTCTTGTGGACCAAATTTTTGACCATCAGATTGAATTCCTTGTTTGACCATCCTCTTGGTGGAAGCTTCTATAGGCTGAACGAACTGTATATAAACCATTTTTTGTATGCTTCCAAAGGACAATATCTTCTCTTCTTTGAGAAGGAATTGGAATGTTCAAAATTGCATTCAATGAGTTTTGCTCGAAACGTTGATGCAAGAGAGGAGTGTTCCATTGTCCCTGAGCTGTAATAAGTTCCTTCACTCTTCATTCTCTATTCACTTGATGAGAGGTTGATGGGTTTTTTTACCTCAGGTTTGTTTTGGGGTAATCAAGGTATCCATGGGTCAGAGATTGCATCGATTTTCTCTCCATTCCCAACTTTCCAATATAACTGGGAAGCAATCTCATTCCTCATTTTCAATGTGCACTTCCACCACCATGAGTGTGAGGATTTCGCTTGGGTTGAAGATCTCGTTCCTCATTTTCAATCTCATTCATCATTTCTCATTCCTCATTTTTTGGGGTTGAAGATCTCATTCAACGTACTCTGAGGGGGCACATATTCCCCTAGATCCAAGTTACAAAAGAAAATGTTAAAGCATTTGTAAGGGTTGCTTGGGCTCCAAAACCGTGTACAAGTGGGACATGATGATAGTGGAGGGTGGGAGTTTATCTTTGATTATAAAGAAGACCTGCAAAGAGTTGTTGATGGTGGACCTTGGTTTATTCGCTCTAGCTGGATGCTGATAGCGAAGTGGCAAGATGCAAAAGCAGGAGAAAAGTTGAAAATCTGGCATCAAAAGCTATGGCTTATAATGCATGATATCCCCGCTTATTTATTTTGGATGACAACTGTAAGTAATTCGCTACAACAACAAGGAGAGATTTACTAGAAAATGAAGAAATCAAAATTGGTACTCCTACTAGAGGTAAGATGGTTCATTTAAAGATTGAAATTGATCTTTGTAAAGCTTTATTTAGAGGGATTGTCCTTAACAATGGTGATGAACCAACTTGGATTCGATTCACCTATAGGATTAACAAAGTTATGCGGGTACTATGGTTTAGTTGGACATAGTTGGAAGAAATGTAGGCAAATAACGATGGGTGCTTCTTTAGAATACATCGAAAAGAATCTTGCAAATAGAAAGATTGACTCCCTAGGGGAGTGGCTATGTGCAAATTACAAGCCAGAACATACTTTCAAATATCTAGATCTTCATAAAGACTACACCCCTTGTTGCCAATTACACCTATTTCGTAGAGATCAGAGTTCCGGTGAAGACTCCAAAGAAGAGAGTAGCATTGAGAAAAAGCAACATTTAGCTGACTGATCTCTGCAACTGATTAAACTCCTGTTCAAAGAGAAGCAGAAGTGGAAAGAGCAACAAGGAGAATCGGGTGAGTCGTCTTCAAAACGTAAAAGAGTTGAGTCAGGCTACAACAAGGATCAAAAGAAGGCAAAATTAGTAAATAAGTCATAGGGGACTGATGAGATTTTCAACTTGTCAGATAAATCAGATAATAAGGTGCACATCTACTCAACATTTTCGAGCGGGCTTAGT